GAGGAGATCTGTCTCCTCTCCTCACAGCAAACACAAGCACCACTGAAGGAAGGAAGGTTGATAATCAAAACTAGGAAATGAAATGGCTTGTAGCCTATATATCACAGTACTTTTCATCTATTCAAAAAGCCCTTTGTGGTTTCTTCACTCAAACTTCTTAATGGCAGCAGCCAAAATCGAGTGATTATCTTAATTATCTCGATGTGATAATGATCAACTGAAGCCGACCTGCAATCCAAAGAGGTTTTAGAAACTGCATGAGGTAAATGAGTCGTTTAGTTAAATCATTTTAAAAATATCTGTAATTGCAATGCAGCAAAATGCAGCTGTCACTGACTAAAGAAAGCAAAAAGCTCACAATGCTGTTATTATGTTTTATGACAGAGAAACTTTCTGCTTCTAAACCACAGAAACACAAAATGACAGGATAAGATGAGGCTTTGTTGGTGAAGCTGAACTTGTTTCACTTCAACCAGTGCAAACGAGAAACTGCTTTTGTGTGTTTTGGCTCAGTCCCAACACAAAAGAGAAAGTTCAGCATCTGCACATGTTTTATCAATTAAATAAGACAAAATATCCAATTGCCCAACAGAGTTTCTTGGAATAAGACTCCCTGAGAATGCTGCCAAACATCAGTGCTCGACCAAATGTTTGCCTGAAAGCCTCCCAGTCACATTTTTAGCCTGTTTTCATCCCGTCAGGTCAGAGGGCTTTGCAGAGATCTACCATCTGAAATGTTAGCTCTAACCGTTCAGGGTTGGACTCATTAAAAGTCTCTGAGCAGACAAAAATAGAGCCATGTCATTTGAAATCTGGCTACCTTGATGTGAGTGGATTTCAAACCGTAAGTTATCTAATGTTGGAAAAGGACTTTTTTCCATTTGGCAGTTTAGACTCAGAGGGGATCTGTGGTTTATCTGAAGCTAAGACACTGGTCTTTTGAGATTTGAGCAATTTAGTTCGAGTGAAGTCATTTCACAAATAATGTAAAGAGGGGAAAATGCAGTCAACAAGAAATCATGTGAATTTCACAAGAAACAGAAACAAAATCAAGCCTTGAAGATTGATCCAACCAGGTCTTGCTGATGACTGACGAACTCTGTCTGTATGAAGCTGGTGAAACAAATGATTGATTCATTGTTATTGCAGCACACAGTACGAATGCTGTACTCTCAGAGCTGTGAGGAAAAAAAAGCAAAGCAGACTAGTCAGTCAGGGAAAAGAAGGGATCTGAACAGGATGTTTTGGTAGAAAGATAAATGATGAATTAAAAATAACTTTTTGGGCTAAATTCTGAGATTTTAATTATTTCAATTATTGAATTAAAAATCTTTTCTTAGCTGTTGAAAGTTGATCTACTAACAAACTGCCTGTCTGTAGAAAGGCAAAGGGGAGTTGGACTGATAGGTCAGAGTTCATCCAACTGCAGGAAAATCAAACAGATCAAGCTGGTTCGAGATGACCTGGACTGTCCAAGAAAGCAGAACAAAGCAAAATATCTAACAAATTGAAACAAAATCTGTATGTTTTATATATACAGACATTAAATTTCAGTCCATTAGAAAAATACACCCAACAGTACCGTACATTTCCTGCTGCTCATGCTACCTAAACCTTACATAGAAGCGGTCAGCCAAGAGACTCTTCTGAGATAACAAATCAGATCACTCTAAAACTGAAGATGTAATAACTGTGTTAATGTCAGTCGGGTGTTTTATGAAAACGTCAAGTTGATGCCTTGGAAGTTTTCCACTGTTAGACTTGGATCACATAATATTTAAAAAGACCTCCTGGACCTTCCTCAGAAGAGTTGCACAAGTAGCCACTAAAGACGAACTAACAAAGTCCACATGCTGCAGGAGTGAGGGTAATACCCACAAACTAACAGCCGGAAACCAATCTGTCAAACCTAAGATACAGATCACTGTCTATAGATTAAAGCAGGGATCTGTCCATCGGGGCGATCGTGGCTCAAGAGTTGGGAGTTCGCCTTGTAATTGGAAGGTTGCCAGTTCGAGCCCCGGCTTGGACAGTCTCGGTCGTTGTGTCCTTGGGTAAGACGCTTACTGGTGGTGGTCAGAGGGCCCGGTGGCGCCAGTGTCTGGCAGCCTCGCCTCTGTCAGTGCGCCCCAGGGTGGCGATGTTGCTACAATGTAGCTGCCATCACCAGTGTGTGAATGGGTGGATGTGTAAAGCGCTTTGGGGGCCTTAGGGACTAATAAAGCGCTCTACAAATACAGGCCATTTATGGTAAAAACCATAAACCAGCCAGAACAGACCAATCAGAATAGTTTTGACTATACAGCAGGAAACTCTTCACAGCTGCTTTAAGTAAATTTTCATTTTTAGACGTCACACTGCGCACTGCTGCATCCTAATCTTGTCCCCACACAAGAAAGCATTTTTTAACCTTTAAAGGGTTAAATGATGAAACATATTTCAGTTTTGTGATGGAGTCTTTCTCACATATTTCATTGTTTAATTATCTTATTGTTAATGAAACGCAACTCTCTGTAGCACAACTCTGACTAGATTTTAAACTGAAAGTATTTCCATGCTTAAATAAAACCTTTGCACTTAGTGGACGTCCGTGAGCTCTGTGAGAGAAATCGCTGTTGAGCAACAGTCTGGAACAGACTCGGTCATTTGTTTGAAAAGCTGCAGCAGTGAAAGGCTTTTGTGACGACTCCATGAACTGAACCAGGTTTCTCTGCTCAGTTTGGTGAAGAATTACTGACTAAACTGGCCAATAATTACTCATATGTATCACATGTATATCTATATCTATATCTATATAGATATATATAGATATATTGTGTGTGTGTTATGGCCAACGATCTTCACCTTACTTAGCTGCAGGGAGCTGGAAGCTCAGCCTTGACCCAGATATTTTGGACAGTATCCAGTTTGGATCCTTCCCGCCCACACAGACATTTGTGAAGTTGAGAAGAGTATTTAAGCTTTCTGATTTTATCCAAACAAGGTTCTTGGTGAATAAAACATTTTGTAGCAGATTTGTGTGGCAAAAAGACTCGCGACAGTTTTTCTGTCTTACCTGTGCAGCATGTTCACAGACTGCACAGCCGTACTTTCACTTCTTGTTTTTGAACAGTGCTATGCTCAGCACTGTGCAGGAATAAACACATGCAATGATAACACTGCTGCTAATCTGACAAATTAATAACAATAACACACCCATGAGTCATTGTGCTCTCTGACACAAAACCGTCTGCAGTCTAACAGACTGGAGGGGAACAACTACTAAATCCCACTGGTCCAGGTTTAGGATCCGTCACATTGTAAAACGACCACCACAGGGTCAGTAAATAGTACCAGTCACCGCTGGTTAGGCAGTAATGCTACATTTTCAAAGTACACATCACCCTAATGTTGCTCCACTATCCAGTCCTGGCCTGTGGTCACAGTGGGAATGTAGATTTATCTCAAGGTTCAAACAGCTTCTTTATCTGCCACAGGATAAAATAGTCTCCATTCTTCAAATAATCTTGGCATTTGTCAGATTTTTGATTAAATAATTCATGCCTGTGAGTAACTCGCATTTCCCAGGAACCAGCCAGGACACATTTATCTAAATCCATTTACTGGTTTCAAATCTCACAGTGGAAAAACAAGGCTGCCATGTGATATTCTTTCCACATTTGTGCAGGAAGATCCAGAAGACGTTGACCCCGAACCAGAAAGTAAGGAGCAGCAGACAGACACACGACAGGAACCTACCCTCATTCAGTTCCTCAAAAGTAAGAGTCCTTTTTCCACTTCTGTTTCCTGTCCAGCTGAGGTGACTGAAGGGTGTCAGCCCATTTAAAAGAGGTCAACAGCAACCAGGGCTATGCCAAGCGTCACATCTTCATGCTTCATCCAGCATTTTATGCTCTTTAGTCTATGTTCCTATTAGTCTAAATGCTCTTTTTGTCCATTAGAAACTCAGTAATGTATATTAATCCTCAGTCATACTGTGCACCTCCCTCAGGCTTTCCTAAAATCGCTCTGCGAACGCTGCGAAATCCCATCTACCTGCTGGTGGTTCTGGCTCTGGTGAACTTGTCAGCTCTGCTGTCCGGCCTCGCCACCTTCATGGCCAAGTTCATCGAGAAACAGTTCAGCCAGAGTGCCTCTTTCTCCACCATGATGATAGGTGAGAGCACCTGAATCGTGCCATGAAAGTCGTCACAGCAGAATCAAGCTGTGGACATAAAAGTGAAGCTTCTGTTTTCTGAATTATTGATTTCTCGCAGGAGGAGTCGGGATCCCAATGGCGGTACTGGGGACCGTCCTGGGTGGAGCTTTGATGCGACGGTTCAGTCTTTCAGTCAATGGCGCCAGCAAATTGTGCACAATAGCCATCCTTCTCTGCATCCTGACTGCCCTGCCAATGCTGTTCCTCGGCTGCCCCACACAGAGCATTGCTGGGGTCTCGAACAACAGGTACTTGTCCCTTTACCATGTAAATCCATCATTTATATTTTTTATTGCATATTCAGAACAAACTCACCTTAACAGGGAGCTAAGTGTACTATAGATGTTCTCACTTGTTTATTTTAATATCACAAACTCGTGAAAACTCGAACTAATGAAACTAAATTACTGATTAAATAAAACAACTACGTTGCCCAACTGTTAGGGAACTAATGTCAGGGAAATGTACTATGGTGGAAAAGTCATTTCACTCCTGACTGTGAGGTTGTTTTACCAGCAACGGCAGAAACTAATTTCCCCATACGCTTATTCATATAGTTTCAGGGAAAGGATACCACTGATCAACTTAACTGATCAGTTAAATGGTTCATTTGACCTCTGGTGGCACCAGTTTACTTCACTGCTGTAGCTGCTACAGTGCAAACGGCGTGATTTACAGGTTCCTTTCTGTTGTTGGTGATGAGACCTTTGTGTAACTGATACTTAGTAAAGCCTTTGACATCTCATTTTGATAAAAATTCACATGAACTTGATAAAATGATTCAGAATATATGTTAATAATGCTTATTGTAGGCATCTACAGCTTCTTTATTCACCTTTAAAATGTTAATAAAAATGTGTGTTTGTATTTGCAGCTATGATTTGTTGCAGTGCAGTTCTAGCTGTCACTGTTCTGAGGAAGCGTTTAACCCGGTCTGTGGGTCAGACGGCGTGGAGTTCAGGTCTCCTTGCCATGCTGGCTGTCAATCTGTAGAAACAGACAACTTCAGCAAAGTCGTGGTAAGATTCAGTTAATCCAGAAATTCTTTCCTGTGAACCGATCTGTTATCTCACATTGTGACTAAGGCTCAGCTCTGTTTGCTGTTCAAATTTAGATTCAAGTGGTGTGTAGTCACAAGGAACTGGCATGCTTTCTGTGGTGGTTTGCTGCCAGTTCCCATTTCATTTGTTTGTGCTCTTAGGAAATCAGTGACATCACATTCCTTGAGAATATGAGCCACTGAGACGTGGAGGCAGCAGAAGCGTTTCGTTTTCTCTATCAGTCTTAGATATACGCTGGCTTTATGTCAGACTCTTAGACACACACCATCATCTGGTTGATATTTGTGTAGCCTGAACATTCTGTGGAAAAGGCAAATTCAGCTGCCAGTTTATCATTATTATTATTTCATTTGTACCCGTGAGTTTTAATAGCTTACAGCTGTTCCAAGGTGGTCTCACTATTACAGATGTTAAGCTTAAATTCAGTGTGTGCTGCCAGGAAGGATTAGGTGTCACTGCGATGGTATGAGTGTCCCACTTTTCCTTTTCAGTCTGTCTGTGGATTTAACTATGAAAGTGAAAGTAAACATACTGGTTTTAAAGAATCTAAACTGGGACCTTGAGTAATTGGCCAGATGTGCAAGAAATTCTACATCCAGATGTTGCAGAACTCTCCCAAACCTCTCCCACTGTAGGAACATTTTTTTGTAGGTTTGACGGACCCTAATGGTCCAACAACCTTTGACCTCCCATGATTTTGTGAACTCAGTTATTTGCTAACAGAATGAATCAATTTCTAATCCAAGCACCGTTTCTGGCTTTATGATGAAACTGGCATCGGCAATACTCATATATACACGACTTCATTATTTAAAAATTACTTTGTACAAGAGAGGAAATAAAATCCAAACAAAAAGCTGTACAATAACAGATCTATTGCATGTGCGTTTCTGTAGAACTACACCGAGTGCCGGTGTGTCAGTGGTCTCAGCTTCGCCCTACCTGGGAGCTGTGGCAGTGGGTGTGAGCATCTCCTCATACCCTTCGTGGTTCTGCTGGGTCTCACTGCCTTCATCGCCGCCTTTTCCCAGACACCCTCATGCATGATGATACTCAGGTATGGAAAAGATAATATAATGTCAAATAATGGGGAATGCTTAAGTCGGAGTCTTGTCATTAGCAACAATTTTAAGTAATTTAAAGGAAGGACACCAAAACAAAAGTTTTATGAAAAAAAAAACAGAGTCACATGACAAATTGTTGTTTTAACACAATCTTTAGCCTTTAGACAAATATTTTCACATTCCAGTCAGGCACTACTTTCTTTTCTAAACATGTGAAGAATCTAGAGATTCCTCTGCAAATAGCCTACTCCATTAAATAACAGCTACTGGAAGCCTGTTTTTCGTTATCATGAATGTGATGTCTCTGCTGCAGGGAGGTACCTCCAGAGGATAAGTCGTTCGCAGTGGGAGTTCAGTACATGCTGTTCAGAGTCCTCGGTAAGTCATCACATACGTTCTCCAGTGACACGAGGTCTGTGTTTAAACTCAAAGACCTGCTCAAGGCATTTTCTTTGATGCTTAGATGCTTAGATGCAGTTTCATACACTGGTTTCACCATCTTATTTTATTTTTTTTTTTGGAGCCAGATATGATTATATTTGCACAAGACAGTATAGTGCAAAGAAATATTCAGATAAAAATCCTCAAACTTCAGCCACCAAAACTAGTGCTGAGACCTACTGGACAAGCTCTTCGTACAATTACCACAGTGGCCATTTTACTGGTCAGATAAGAAATTAAAAATGCTCGAAACGGCTCCAACAGCACAAACATGGTCACGGACTCCAGTTAGCCAAAGTGAAGCCAAGCAGACAGCTAACAGCTACAGCCACCTGTGTCACCATCCACCTGTCATAGAGGCTGCACTGTTTACTTGTTGACATAAATAAATCCAAATGAAAGAATTATTTAAAAAATAATAATAATTTAGGGCCAAAATTATGATTGTAACTGAGTATTCATCTTGGTCTGTTTACAGCATTCATGCCCGGTCCAGTGTTGTACGGCAGTGTCATCGACACCACCTGCATCTTATGGGGCAAGAAATGTGGCAAGGAGACCTCCTGTCAATACTACAACTTAGAGAGCTTCAGAAGCAGGTAAAAGGAACATTTAAAGATACTAACAAAATACAAAAAGTGGTCATTAAGTTTATTTGACTATTGAAATGAATGCAGCAATCATTCCTTCTCATAGTAGGAAAGATTAAATTGTCATTTATATAAATGTTGTGATGCATTTTGCGAGACACACTGTAAATTCTTTTTAAAAGAGTTAAAAAATGTCATAGTCCTTATAAAAACAACAACAACTGAAATGAACACATTTTCTGCAGCTATAAAGACTAAAAATGATTGCATCCCGGACTAGCCCCCAACCATCAAAACAACCATAAAAAATCCATAACCACCTGTTTGTGTATTCAGGTTTCTGGGACTGCAGGTGGTGTTTGTGTGTGGGGGGTTGCTCTGCTACCTGCTGACAATCGTCGTCCTGCGGAAAAGAGACAGGTATCAGGAAAGTGATTACCAGATGGTGAATCAGAAAATATCAGAGAAAGGCAAAGAAAAAGAACTGATAACATGAAGAGGATTCTGAGAAAACACTTTTCACTGAGACTGCATAGGTAGCTTTTTTCTATGCTGGTTGAAAGGACACTGCCACTAAGCAGTGAATTACTCGGTGTGGTGGATGCTTCACTTATAACAGAGCAATGTGCTTGCATTATAAGGCAAAATTATTTTTTTATCACTGTTTTGTTTATACATCATGGCTAACATTTCAGAATGGTTTTCTTGTTTTTAGATAGAACTTAATGTGACTGACAGTATATACTTATGTAAAGTTTCACTTACGATGTTTAGTTTTTGGCCATTGAGCAGTATATCAGTCCCAAACTGCGTGCCAAAACTAATAACCTGAGTAACACGGAACTCTTTTTCAAGATTTTTTTATGTGTCTTTGATGAAGTCATAAAAAGATCGCCCTAACTACTGTGACGTCACCTCTCACATTTTGACTATCCAACTTTAGTGTTTTGGCGTCCCCCTTGTTGGCTTTTTGTAGCCAGAAGTGAGGATGCACATAATATATGCAATCATATACTTAAGCACATCTATATATATATAGCATAATGATCAAAATACGATGTTGTCTTGCTATAGAAATTTAGTTAAAGTAACACTTGCCTGGCATGGAAATAAGGAAAAAATATCACGTTATAGGGAGACACATGAGTTGCCATTGACAACATTTAATGATATGTTTAGCACTAAACTGAACTTAATGTTCACATTAACGTGAACATCAGTTTCCAGTTTCTTCACACATGTCACTGCTTAACAAACACTTAGCGAGTAGCTGCAGAGTGTTTGCAAACAAGTCGGCACCTTTCATAGAAATTTCATACAACCCTTGCTAATGCAACGAACGTTTTACTACAGCACACTACACCTGTTTGTGAAAGATTTCACTGACTGCTAGCAAACTCCAGCAATGAATCACAGCCAAATGGTGGTTGCCAGGCAGTTGCCAAGCAGTCTTTAGGCCTGTGGGACTGGGGTGCAGTAAGTTACTGACACCCTCAGGTGCTGCTTAAAAATACTCACATTGTAAAAGTAGACCTTTGCAGTATATGTGCACCTGCCTGATATACAAACACATGCTTTATTTAACCATTAAGAACACAGCCTTGGTTAAAATAGTGGCTTACGAAAAGCAAAGGCATAACAAGGAAAATTAAACATTAAAAGAACAGCAGACTTCCAAAGACATGTTAATAGACCCATTGGTAAAATGGTGCCTCTGGTGGTGGAAGGCTTAGTTACATTTTTTAGATGTAATTATCAAAAGTACCTGTAAACTCTCTAATAATGAGCTCAGTGTACTCACAGTGATCCCTGTGACTCTAAATACTCACTTTATTACAGTTTTTTCTACTCTTGGATCTGTGTGACATCACCATTAGGCAATATCCCTAACATGGTCATCTCAGGCACTTAAGCTCCGCGAACCTGCTAGTCAAACTTTCTGTTTACAAGGAGCAGTTGAAGCTGTCTTAAAGGGGGAGGAGCTAAAACAGCTCAGTAAGGTGGCTGCACGACAACCGAGTATGAGACAAATAAAGTTTATTTTGAACTGTGAATCGTGCACACACTTGGAATACAGTTGTTACCTCTGACAGATCAATGTGATTGTGGTCTTAAAGATAATACATCTGCAACAGCATCGCTATAGGAACAAGTTTCAGGTGTGAAAAATGTGGTCATTATATCATTTCCTGTACATCAGTTAAATTACATCCAGCACAGATTCCTTCAAATCTCACGTTCACTTTTACTTTCACATTTAAATGTGTCGAAAGAATTCTTATTTCAACATCACACTAACGAGGAAGCCACCAGCTTTCATCTCTGAATATTTTTAGTGTCCCATCATTTTTACTGGAAATGAAATAAAAGAGAAACATCTGTGCAGTGAGTGTATTCATGCTGTGATCTTGAAGAGAGAAAGCAGCTAGGCCAGCTTGTTTCAGACAGAGGGTGGACTGAGGGCTGAACCAGAGCCCAGGATGAGGGGAATAACAATTATTGTCAACTGTGAACCATGCAATGCTACTCTACTGGAGCTCAAGAAAACAAATATGGAGCTATATTGAGCAGAAAAGGTTTTCTATATGCGGGAACTACAACTTTACCAGAACACTGTGACAGGATTCTGGAGTCACGAAAAGACTTCAAAGAGATTAAAGAAGGGAAACTAAAAAAGACAGAGGGATGGCAAACAAACAGGACATACAAAAAGGCACCACAACACTCTTTTTACATGAAAATGTGAATTCATGAACTTAATTCTTCCGGCACAAACGGATCCCGTGAACATGAATTTAATCCAGCGAGATGTCTTCAATGTTTTGTCACTTTTTTATAAACTGTTTTCTACAAGTTTGATAAAATGATGTTTAAGTGTTTGTATAATAACCTTTCATACTCGAAATGTTGTTCTGTAAATATTTATATCCAATTGAACAGTGAATAAAGGACACTGGCTTTATAAAAAATATATGAAATATATAACATTTTAGAATAAAGTGGAGCAGTATCACTGAAGCACTAATCGAAATGTGATGGACAAAATATCGTATCATAAAATATCATCAAAATTCATAATTTTCTTTTGTATGTTTTTAAATAAAACTAATTAACACATTTAATGTTGAATCATTTCTTGCTTGCTCAGCTTATAAAGTGTTTATTTTTCCACATGTGATTTGTGCACATTGTTTACTGCTTTTTATGTAAAAGATAAATTAGCAAATAAAAAAAAGCTCGGTTTCTCTGAGCATTTACTTTTGATTTGTTTTTGTTTCTTTTAAATCCACTTTAAAGTTTCAAAATTTATTGATTTTTTGTTTTTAACGTCCTAACACCTTGGGGATTTTTTTATGTAGCTCGTTTGTTAGAAATATTTGTGAATAACTGTAGTTTTCATTGTATTTTATATGTGACAGCATAATTTCAGTAAATTAAACAGAAGATCTTAATATTAGTGCCACCTTTTATTTTTTAGATTCATAGAAAAGAAGTAAAATACCCGCACTCAGCTTCTTCCATATTAAAAAAATATGTTGAAGACATGAAGACATTACAGAGAAAAGAGAATCAAACTAAATGTGGTATCTATATGAAAACTCAGTTTAAACATTTCACATTAAAGCTTTCAGCATTTTCAGTGTTTGGATCCAGATCACTGCACCACAGATGCCATCATTAAACACAGGAGTTGATCTTAAACTCAGATTAAAACAAAAATGTCGCTCGCGCGCACACACACTAGCAGATCTGTCAAACTGCGATCAAATTTCCTGAAGCCTAAACAGCCATTCTTTCCAACTGACAGATTTATTGAGCTCCTCATCGAGTTTTCATGAAACATTCCAGCTTTGAGGTGGGACCACCTGCACAAACAGGCAAGTTCAGGCAGAAGCTTGAAGATGTCATTGGCTGAAAGTCTGTGACAGTTGGAGCACTGATGGTGCTGCAGGCTCAAACATGTGCGCTGCTCCTACTTCAACACACAACAGGTATGTGAAAGGCGGAGCGTGCGGCATCACACTTCAGTGCAGCAATTCACAATACAGGGTAAATATTTCACATCGAAATGTCAATAAACTCGAAGAAACATGAAGACTGACTGAGACAGCAGCAGTATAAAATCTCCTCCATATTTAAACGTCTTCAGCTTTTTTACATCTGCAAGCCCCTTTGCAACCCCCCTCTACCCTAGCTCCTCCTTCCATGCTGTCACTGAACTAAACAAACATCATCATTATTAGCTAGTTTTGTTAGTAGGTAGTATTTTTCCCGATGCTAATGAAGTTGCAGAGCCATCACAGATCTGATGAGACATCCTTTACATCAATAGCAAAATATGTTTTTATAGCGCCGACTAACTGGTAACATCTCAACTCTTTCTAATGTAAAAACTTAAAGTCAGTCTGTGAGTCCCAGTTCTGTGTGGGAAACAAGAGGAGAACATCTCTCCTGCTTAATCTCCATGAATATCCTCAGTAAAGTAGAAATGTGGGCCTGGCCTGTGGGGGGGTCTCGCTGCTCGTCTTATTGCTCTAGGCTTAGATGTGAAGCACAGACGTTCTCACTGCTAATGACGAGTTAGAGCACAGACGGGTGAGCAGAGCCACGGTGCCAAACCTAAAGAGGATCCGAGTGACTCTTGTTTCTTTTAAACTGATGCAGCATGCTTTCATCCTCTTGCACTGTCGCGCTGTACAGGAAACAGTTTTTCAGGCTAAAGGTCTGTTTCATCATGATGTTGTGACACAGGAGGAAGTGAGCTTTCTCCTACAGACATTGTGCAGTCAGAGCTAAAGCGCCACCACAAAACTGCACCGACAGCTCCAAAAAACTCCGTCGTCATCTGGGCTCTGCTGGTTTTGTAGATGTTGAGAAAGCAAATTGAAATTTGAACCACGGCTCATGTCGTAGCTCATATCGTAGGCCTTCATGAAGCAGAACGTGCTCAACTCAAGCTAAAGAAAGAACAGTGACGATTTCAAACTGCTGAATCAGCATTTTTGATTTGTGTTATGCGAACCTCCTTATATTCTTTACACAACAGGTTGTTGTGTGTTACACATGTATTATTAAATCAACTTTATCTGGGCAGTTTTTTTCTTTTGTTTTGGGGTCAAATTTTAAATTACATTTGAATTTAATATCTTAATACCTTTTTCATTTTCAGTTTGTTCATGTGAAATCTAACTTTTTTGTTTTTAAATGAAACTATTTTAAAGGCTTTTATTTTCATTTTCACTGATCGGGGACTTTGTAGCATTTTAATACTGTTTGTTTTACTTTTGGGTTCAGTATCTCTCTTTGTCTCTGTCCTCGGGATGCTCTGCTACCTTCACCATGAGCACCTTTGCTTTTCTCCAGTTGTTTTGACTTTTTTCTGATTATTTATTTATATACTTGTCAATAGAAAATTGTATTTGTTTAGTCAGTATAAGCTTTTTATGATATAAGTTTGTGATAGAATACTGCATGATGATCTTTTCATTGCTCAGAACTGATCGTTCTTTATGAAACGTGTTCTGATATTTGTATCTGAATCTATCCACAGCGATAGTAAGAAGTTGAATAAGCAGTTCTGACCTTGCACACACACACAATCACATACATACACAATCACATACGCACATGCTCATGTCACTGAACGAACGTATTAATTCCTGTTGTATAAATAAAGAAAGCAGACGGTGACACTTGTCCTCGCGAGTAAAGACAACTGCAGTGTTTGTGTTTCTAACTCAAGTGTCTCAGCTGAAGAACTGCAGGGTGATTTAAAGAAATCCCCTGTCAATATTATTTATGCCGCCGATATGCCAGTATCGGGAATGTCACAGCTGCAGCTTCCTGGTTGTAGAAAAGACAATCTACCCCTCCATCCCAACTTTTGTCCCTTAGCAATAAAAAAAACGTGGCAGCTTTCACTCGAGTATAAACATGACCTCCATCCTCCTTCTTACTGCTGACTTCAGCAGATTTCCTGTCAGGTGTCGTTTCCTCCTGAATTCTTCCAGGAGCGACAGCTTCAAATTCACAGAAAGTGACAGACGGGTTCAAAGACTGTTTGTCAGATGGAGAAGGACAACAAAATTCAAGCTTTCTATCATAAAAAGACTTTTCAGGATATCAGGATTTACCAAAAAAACCATGTTGGATCTTTGTGTCCAACATGTTTTAACAACACAGATTAATTTCACTGCCATGTCTTTTCCCACATTATCTGATATCTGGATCCCAGGTGTCAGCAGACCTGAACCCTCGCCTGCATGGCGTGTGGGTACATCCGCCTGCCGAGTGCTTTGCCAAAGCGCCTGTTCTGTTCTCACGCTGATGTTGTAACGTGTCGGCTGCCTTTGACTTCCTGAGTAAACAGTTTGTAACATTAATCCGACGTCGTCTCTGTCACAGCAATCGTTTATGTAATCGCTTCATTCATCAGTCTCATGAAGGACTCTGTCTGAATTTTTACTTTCAATTTACAGAAAATATCATTAAAAACAATAAATTCTTTTAATTTTACATTTGGAAAAATGACAATTAAGAGTTAAATACACACAAAAGGACAGACGATCATTTCAAAATGAAGCAAACTGACAGAATAATCAGGCTCTGCTCCAGGAAGCAGATTCACAAACTGAAAGTTTATTATATCTGAGCCAAGTCCGTGTTTTTAGTTCCAGAAAGGCCGGTCAGAGTTAGTTTGACAATTAGCCATCATCAGAAGAGCATCACCATGGCAACAGATAAGTAAAGGCCAGAACGGGAGGGGAGAAGTGATGAACTGCAAAAAGGTCTTCTTCTTTTATCGCACTCTGTTATTTCTGCCGTTATGGAAACAATTAGTAAGATTTAGAAGATGAATCTGATTTCATCTTTAATCTAATCTCAGTCTTCACTGACACACCAGGTCAATGATAGTGTTTCACACTGATGGAAGAAAGAAGCAGAAGTAAAAGCAAACATGTTAAAATAAACATTAACTATAGAGCTGTCTGTATGTTGGACAGATAGATTTGACATATTTCAGTTTAATTTTAGACTGTGGACAAAATCAGCAGCTATGATACAGGATACGCCGTTTATCCGGGGTAATCTGGAAAAGGACTCAGTGTGAATCCGTGATCCATCTGGGACCTGCCCCGTTACAGAGCCTCGGATTCCTTAAGGGGAATCTGGTTCTGGGTCGACCCACTGACACTGATTTAGCTGATTTTCAGTAGAACAAATATTGAGGCTCAGAATGTAAACATTTAAAATGTTGTTTGACATCAATCTGAATTTCAACATGATATGTAATCAGATTACAATTAGACCATCGGCAGCTGCATTTAAAGTGGTCGTGTGCGCTTTGCTGTTTCACCACATGTGAGCTGAAGTTTCTCTGCTGCCTCGGGCGGATATCACTGAGTGTTTGTCGCCCTCTGGTGGACACTCAGAGGTGTTGCATGCATGGACTGCATGCAGAGTAATTATCTGCATCTCATTAAAGTACAAATGTACTCATTTACATTACTGCATTTAAAATGT